CTTCTTCCTCCTCCTGTCCTTGCTCCTCCCCAGCAGCGCTGCTCTGATGCTAGCGCTCCAACCAGTGTGTCGCCAAACTTGTCCTCCTGGAGATATAGCGACCTGCTTGCCTCTTGGCAAGTGACTTCCTAGACCGCGCGCCCTTCAAGCAACTGGTACCTCCTCCCATTCGGAAGGAACCATCATTGCAGACTCTGATATTGCCCGTACAGGCCCTATACCTGGCCTACAACTACGGGGCCTCTAAAAATGCAAACTTTGTCTTCTTCTGCTCGGCCTCGAGTACCCAGCACATCTACCTCTACCTGGTGTGGTACCGGCCTACCTGCTACTCGAGTGTTTTCCGCTGCTGCAAGTGTTGCGGCCTCCTTTCCCACCACTTGAGTGCTTTCCCCACTGCAACCCGCAATGCCACGGCCAGTGGTAAGTTCTGGCCCTTTGGGCCTTCCACATGGACAAGTACCCTCGCAGGTCACACACACTCAAACCGACAATCACTCAGACAGGCATGCAGACCAAAAAGCACGCACACGTGCAGACTTAGAACACTCAGCAACAAGCGGGAAACTCAGCAAGGCATACACTCCATTGGCAAAGCTCAGAAATCAGCTGTGTGAAACGGTTTTCACCTTTGTGGTAGCAGTTTCAGTTCCCAGAGTTCGATCCCCAGACCTCGCCCTTACCCGTGTACAGTACCAGCCCACCCGTGTGTGCTGGAACCTGCGGCCTGTGTCTTGAAAGTCGCCTGATTGTTTGCTGTAGGTAGGGTGGTCGTCGGGTCTGTGGTAGGAGTCATAGCTGCTACAGTGTTGAAAGGTCAAGTAGTAGCAGCTACAGTACTGAAGGGCCAAGTCCACAGTCTTCTGGAAGGTCTGGAACTGGCCCTTCGTTAGTCCTAGTAGACAGTCCGGAGGCAAGTGGTCAAGTGGGCAGTCTTACCTTGCTCAGTCAGCGGTACCCAGTCCCAGTCGCGCCTTGTCAAGTCAGCAAGTACCATGCAGGACTGTGTGCACTCCGGGCCCAGTGGCGAGAGGCAGACCAGCGACAAACCAGAGTATAAATAAAGAGGCAGCGATCAGTCATTCATTCATTCTGCCTGTGAGCCGTGCGGAAGCGCTGTCAGAGCGTCTTGTGTACGAAGGTCTGCAGGTGCCCGAGGAAGAAGAGGGCTAAGAGAAGGAAGATCGGCCATAGCCAGTAGTTTGTTAGTAGGAGGATAGAGACGGTGGCCATAGCCGCCGCATCAGCAGTTAGTAGTGTTAGTGTGTGTGTAGAAGAGGGTGTGTGTGTGTGTGTGTGTGGGACATCCAGGGAGATCCAGGGGTGTGTACGAACAAGTTGCTGAGAGTGCAGGTGTTGGCCATAGCGGACCAAGACTAGTTTGAATCTGAGCTGCGGTCTTGGCTGCATTATCTCTGAGCTTTGTGTGGGCGCAAGGCGCCAGATTGATCGTCGTCTGTTTGTACGCATGCTGAAAGTCGGGAAAGACAAGTCTGATTGCATGTGGGTCTCAGTCCGTGTTCGGAGGGTCCTAACGTTAAGTTGAATTAACCTTGATTTCCAAGGCCAATTAAAGGCTTCCACGACTCTTGCGAGTGCTCTGAAGGATGTATTGGTTGCCATGATTACAGCAGTTAGCTCATCTGCGAACATTATGAAGGCTGGAAATGAAAAGTAGTGGGCTGTTCTAGTGTTCGATTCCAGAAGTCTTTGAGTAGAGGGATCCTTGTGTAAGGAAGCTATTGCTTCCATGACAAAGAGGAATATAGGAGGGGCTAGCGGCTCACCCTGTCGTACTGATCTAGAGATAGGGTTGTCAATAAATTCGGATGCACCAGTTGCATCAGAATATAATATTCTTATCAGGGTTGCATACCTGCCGACCGCCGACCCCGACCGCCGACCATTTTGCAGCCCACCGGTTGGCGGTCTGCTGACCAGTCAGAAAACAACCCTCCACTAATGTTTTTTCAAATCTGAGTTGGGGTCTGTACGGCGTTTGCTGATTACAGCCCAAATCCGCTGAGAAACTTTTGGGGATGGGGGGGGGTAGGG